GTGAGCTGGTGGTGGGGCCTCTGCCGCACCCCTCCTACCTGCGGGATGTGACGGTGGAGCGTCACGGGGGGCCCCTGCCCTATCACCGACGCCCCATGCTGGGAACGGAGTTCGCCCAGATGTGGAAGCATTTGAAGGAGGTGGAGCTGCCCAAGGCGCCAGTCTTTCTGGCTTCGGTCTTCAACTATAGTGGCTCCACTCTGGCACCTCTGCATGCCACCCCCAGTGGCTTGCGCTCAGGGGACCGTGCTACCTGGATAGCCCTCTACCATAACATCTCAGGTGTTGGGATTTTCCTTCACCCAGTGGGGCTGGAGCTACTGCTGGACCACAGGGCCCTGGACCCTGCCCGCTGGGCTGTCCAGCGGGTCTTCTACCTTGGGCGCTACTACGCAGACTTAGGCCAGCTGGAGTGGGAGTTTAAGGCTGGCCGGCTGGAAGTTGCTAGAGTTCCTCTACCCCTGCCGGATGGGGCTTCATCCCTGAAGTCCCGGGCCCCCCCAGGTCCTCTCCCCCCTCTTCAGTTCTCACCGCAGGGCTCCCGATACAGTGTGCGAGGGAACCTGGTGACGTCCTCTCTCTGGACATTTACATTTGGTCATGGGGTGTTCAGCGGCATGAGGATTTTTGATATTCGGTTTAAGGGCGAGCGAGTGGCCTACGAAGTCAGTGTCCAGGAGTGTGTAACTGTCTATGGTGCCGATTCACCCAAGACAATGATGACCCGATACTTGGATAGCAGCTATGGACTTGGCCGTCACAGCCGGGGCTTGGTTCGGGGAGTGGACTGCCCCTATCAGTCTACAATGGTAGACATCCACATATTAGTGGGCACTGGGGCAGTCCAGCTGCTCCCGGGGGCTGTATGTGTGTTTGAGGAGGCCCAAGGACTACCCCTTCGGAGGCACCACAATCACCTGGAGAGTTATTTCTATGGTGGTTTGGCTGGCTCGGCCCTTGTAGTCAGGTCTGTGTCATCTGTAGGCAACTATGACTACATTTGGGACTTTGTATTCCACCCAAACGGGGCTCTGGAAGGGCGGGTCCATGCCACGGGCTATATCAACACGGCTTTCCTGAGTGGGGGTGAGGAGAGCCTCCTCTTTGGGAACCGTGTGGGGGAGCGAGTACTGGGGGCGGTGCACACGCATGCCTTCCATTTCAAGCTGGACCTGGACGTGGCAGGTGAGTGCTTGGGTGAGGATTGAGAGTTGGGGTGGAGGAGAGGGAAGGGAGACCCCCAAATCAAGCCAGAAGAAGCAGAGGGTGATATGCTAGTGCCACGATACATTGTGGCAGGAGTCAGAGACTGATTGGAGTGTATTCAACTGCAGTCAGCCTGAAATACTGTTCTGGCACAAGAGATGGGGTGCCCTCACCCAGCTCCCCTGACTTGCTGTGAAACGAGTGATTGTGAAACTAGTTTAAATGCAATGGCTGTGCCTGGCTCCCTTAGTCTCGAGTGACTCCGCGGATAGTGAATTTGCCCCATCAACTGGGGCTGGAGATGAGGCTCTGAGTTTTTCCTAACTGATTCTGAGGGTCAGTGGTTATGGGGAAAGCAGGGACCTAAGCAGAGATAGGAAGCAGTGTAACAAGGTTTTCAGAGTAGAGGTGGTCCTGGGGCATAAGAAGGGTGGGGATACTGGGTGGGGGTTGCCTCACAGGATTTCATAAAACTGGACAGAGTACAGTGGCCCCACCATCCTGGGGAGGGTCATTTCATGCCTGCCAGCACATGTCATAACCGGTCCTCCAGTGACACAGCAGGCACGCAATAGGCTTGCTGCAAGTGTAGAAAGGGATTTCTCAAGTGGGGCTCAAAGCACAGAGAGGACTCACTGCTCTGGCAGGGTTTTATTAAGAACAAAATAACTTCTTAAATCACAGAGACACAGAAAGGAAAATAGAAATCCACCAGCTCCTCAGCCTAACGGCGGTGGGGGGAGGGGGGAGAAGACAGGACAAGAAGTGACTGGCCAAGTATAATGCTCTGTAACCATATCTTGTGACACATTTTCTTATCCTCTTGAGTATAAAGACATACTTTGGGGTGGGAGGAAAACTAAGAAAATGCCATGTTTGAAATGAGCATATTAACTATTCTTGACATATTTGGAACAGGCCTTTCCTGATTTGAAGTTTCTCTTGAGCACTTTTGGTATTAAAGAGCCTGTCTTGGGAAGTAAAATCGAGTAACATTTATTAGATCCCTGTAGTGTGCAGCCCAGGCGCCTGCGCCCTGGCAAGCCGGCAGAGCAGTGCAGCACTCTGTACCATGCTGGGTGCTTTCATGGTAGGACCTGTTTAACTGCCCGAGTCTGCAGAAAAAGTATAATCCCGTGCCAAGTGGGAAGAGGAGTGTATACGTTACAAGTGCAATCGAATCCTGGGGAAGTTTCAGCCAATATAAAATCTAAATCTACTCACTTCTGAAAAAGAGAAAAACTGAAAGTGGTCCCCACGTTGTGGAGAAAGGAAGCAAGTTTCAGACCTGGGGGAAATATGCAGAGCACCCTGGAAGGGGACGTGCATTTTCCAGCCAGCTTTTCCAAGACAAATCTCTCTTTCATAGTCACAAGAATGTGACTCGCCACCTGCATATTCTTTTCCACTGACAGAGCTCAGCCATAGAACAGCTCTTACTATGCCCGCTGTAGAGATTCAGAAAGAGAATCAGAAAAAGAATCGGTCCAAGATCTACTAGGTAGAACAGTACTAATAGAATTTCGTGCAATGGTGGATATTCTCCATCTGTGTTGTCTGATACGTTAGCCACTAGTCACCTGTGGCAACTGAGCACTTGAAATGTGGCTAGCATGACTGAGAAACTGCGTTTTTAATTTATATGGAGCTAGCCATTTGCGAACTTAGCCCAACTGAACAGGGCAGGTTCAAAGAAGATGGGCTAGCACTCAAATCCAGACCTTCTGGCTCCCAGCAGAGTGCTCTTTGATGAACTCTGCTGCCCGTTGTCAGGCCAGTGCAGTGGGCATCGTGGGGAAGACGAGGGACTGTCTCACCTGGTGTGGAACTCCTTTCCCCCCCCCCTCCCCCTGGCAGGGCTGAAAAACTGGGTGGTAGCTGAAGACGTGGTGTTTAAGCCTGTGGCAGCCCCTTGGAGTCCAGAGCACCAACTGCAGCGCCCACAGATGACTCGCCAGGTCCTGGGAAGGGAGGACCTGACAGCTTTTTCCTTGGGAAACCCCCTTCCCCGCTACCTTTATCTGGCTAGCGACCAGACTAATGCCTGGGGTCACCAGCGCGGGTACCGAATCCAGATCCACAGCCCCCTCGGCATTCACATACCCCTGGAGAGCGACATGGAGAGGGCCCTCAGCTGGGGGAGGTGAGGAGGGCTCTGGGCACTGGGTGGTAGGGAAGGACTGGTCCCCTTCCCCCTTCCCAGCTCTTGGAGACCCCAACTCACTACCCTTAGCTTACCATTCACCCCTCTACCTCCTCTAAGATCCAAGTAGATATGGGATGGGAAATGGTCTCACACAGAATCTGATCCAAAGGACTTCTAGGCCAGTAACGGCCCCTGACATTTTCTGACACCACCTTCCTTCAACATTCCTGGTCAGATACCAGCTCGTGGTGACCCGGAGGAAGGAGGAGGAGTCACAGAGCAGCAGCATCTATTACCAGAATGACATCTGGACACCCACTATGGCCTTTGCTGACTTCATCAACAATGAGACCCTCTTAGGAGAGGTTGGTAGCCCTAGGGGCAGAGGAGAGGGTCAACTTATGCCCAATGTTTTGGCCGCCCAGCCCTTGACTGTAGGTTAGAGGGCATGGTAGGTTTCCAGTTCTCAGATTCAGGGGCCAACAAGGGCCATCCCTCTTGGGGTGAGATTAGCTCTGAGACCCTGACCACTCTGACGCTTCTCACAGGATCACCCTGCCTGCACTGTGGGTCCAGGGCTGGGCAGAGGTGGAAGCAAGGCTAGAGGCTGGGCATCGTGGCTGAAGGGGTGGTTCCCTGGGTCTCACCTCTAAAGTATTTCAGCCTCTCCCTCTCCCTGCAGGACCTGGTGGCTTGGGTTACAGCCAGCTTCCTGCATATCCCCCATGCTGAGGATGTCCCCAACACTGTGACTCTAGGAAACAGAGTTGGCTTCTTGCTCGGACCCTATAACTTCTTTGATGAGGACCCCTCCATCTTCTCCCCTGGCAGCGTCTACTTTGAGAAGGACCAGGATGCTGGGCTCTGCAGTGTCAACCCTGTGGCCTGTGTCCCCCACATGGCGGCCTGTGTCCCAGACCTGCCCCCTTTCTTTTACCAGGACTTTTAGCCCCAAGGGTGTGATGGGACATGGAGGGGAGTTGCTGAGATGTTTGTACCTTTCTCTCTGTTCTCAACTTCCTGCTCCCTTGGCTCTTACCTATTAATGTTCTTTAGGAAACAGCCTCCCGTACTATACCCGTATATACCCCCTCCATTAATTCTTATTTCCAGTTCATTTTAAATGATGAATTTATACAAATGATATTATTAAAATATTCAAGCAAAAACATCACAAATTCTACCACTCAGAAATAGCTAGTGTTCACATTTGGTGAACATTATACCAGACATTTCTTTATGCATATGCATTGAAATGGAAGAATAGATGGAATTTTGTGAAAATAGATGGTGTGTGTGATTTATAATAAAATGTATTACAAGATTTTTATTGCTTGAATCTTTCCTATGTGACTTTTGAAGTATCTAGAATCCACCCTCTACCTCCCTCTCTCCCCCGGGAATATTAAGGACTCTGGCCAAGGAAATTAGCAGTGGAAGAAGAGAGGGCAAGGGGGATAGACTTGGCCAAGGAATGCTGCTTGGGAAGCTACAGGGCTGGGGGTGGGGGTTTCCTTGGAAGGAGAACAATAGCTCCAAGTTACAGGAAAGGGAACATCTGGCCCTGGGAAGGTGGGGGTTGGGGACGAAGCCAGGCTGAGGGGGTCGGGGGTACTGCTCTGTGCAGACCCAGCTCCTTCCTGGTGGTGCTTTTCCAGGTTCTGGCTGATCAGTTGCATTATTTTGAAATCCCACTTTCCTTCTGCCTACCCCAGTTCTCCCCAGTTCCAACCCTGACCCAGACAGCGGAGTCTGATTTGGAGCCTGGAAGACAAAGCCATGTAAGGTCTGTGGAAATCGCTGCCCGCCCTGCTTCTGGCCCGCCCCCCAACCCCGGCCTGCCCCGCCCCCTCCCCAGCCTTCCCATGTCCTTCCCACCCTCCCCACCCTCAGTATCCTGAATCGCTGAATGCAGGGAACCTTAGCCAGAGTTCAGGAGCCCCCTGTATAGAAGCTAAGAGAGACCTTCCTCTGCTGACCTGAGAAGACACGTCTCCACTCCGGTTCAATTCTCTGTCCTGCTGTCACTGACAATGAACCAGAAGACCACTCTGGTACTCCTTGCTCTGGCTGTCATCACCATTTTCGCCTTGGTGTGTGTCCTGCTAGCTGGCAAGGGAGGAGATGGGGGTGAACCGGGCGAGTCTCCCCGCTGCCCCTCTGTATCCCCCAGTGCCCAGCCCTGGACACTCCGCGGCCAGAGCCAGCTGTTTGCAGACCTGAGCCCAGAGGAGCTGACGGCCGTGATGAGCTTCCTGACCCAGCAGCTGGGGCCGGGCCTGGTGGACGCAGCCCAGGCCCGCCCCTCGGACAACTGCGTCTTCTCTGTGGAGCTGCAGCTGCCCCCTAAGGCTGCTGCGCTGGCCCACCTGGACAGGGGGAGTCCCCCGCCCGTCCGGGAGGCACTGGCCATCGTCTTCTTTGGCGGACAACCCCAGCCCAACGTGAGTGAGCTGGTGGTGGGGCCTCTGCCGCACCCCTCCTACCTGCGGGATGTGACGGTGGAGCGTCACGGGGGGCCCCTGCCCTATCACCGACGCCC